CATGGTCACCTCACAGCCCCCTACTTCCCTACAGCCTTCCTTGCCTCATGAGGTCAGAGCTCTGCACACACACAGGCCCCCCATCCCAGGGAGCCCCCTGCCTCCCTCTGAGCCAAGAGGACCCCCTCCCTAGGCCCCCTGATCCCCCACACTGAGGTCCCCAAAGCTGTCCCCTGCCTACCGAGCAGGCCCTTGGGGGGACTGCGGGCCAGGGCAGAGTCATCACAGACGGTGCGGGGGCGGCCACGCCGGTGGGGCCGGGCACCAGGTGCCTTGGGCCGCAGCACCTTGTCCAGGTCTTCCATGAGCTTGAGCTGCTGACGCCGCTGGTGCTCCTGCCGTGTGAAAGCTCCGCGCCGGCCCCCAGCTCCCACAACACCCCCTGAGGCCAGCCCTGCCGCACTCTCCTCTGGCTCCAGCACTGGTGCCGGCGCCCGGCTCTGCTCCTCCACCTCCAGCCTGCCAAATGGACAGACAGCTGTGAGGGCACAGCATAGGGACCCCCCAGCATCCATGGGATTCCCCCAAGCACCCAGAGAGCCCTACCAGTCCCATGCCCCCCTCCCCCAGCCCTTATGCCCTCTCCCACTTCACCCCAGCCCTTCACCCCCATAGGACTTCCCACCCCTTGGTTCAGCATCCATAGGGCCCTGTCAGCCCTCATGGAACTGCTCCTTATACTACCACCATGTCTCATCCATGGGACCCCACTCAGCACCAGATGAGACCCCCCCCCCTACCCCCCTGCAGCCTGACAGCCTTGGTTCCCCCCACCAGGCCCTATGAGTAGGGACATATTTTTCATCCCTTTTCCAGCCATAAGATTTAAACAACTCCTCGGTGCTTAGCCAAGAGCAGAAACCTTGGTTGCTGCTGAAGGCTAGGCCCTTGCCCAGGTTGGAGCTGCAGCTACCTGGCCTTCCCAGTCCCATTACATCACACTGCTCTGCCACATTCCCCTCACCGTGGTGCCTCCTCGCGCCGCTGCTCATGCTCTGCCTCCAGCCACTGCCGGCGCTGGCGCGCCTCCTCGCTGCGCCGCTGCTGCCGCTCCAGCAGGCTGGCCCGCTTCTGCGCCATTTCCGCCTCCACTGCTGCCTCTGCCTCAGCCTGTGCAGGGAGTGGGGGGCTCAACTGGGGCAGGGTGTGCCTATAAGCATGGTCATAGCCCCACAGCACAGGGCTGGCCATGGCCTGTGGCACCTCTCATCCCCTCCATCCCCAGGGTCCTGCCCCCCCAGTGTTCCCGTCACCACCCTCTCCTGGGCCCCAGCCCTCCCACACCTTCCCTCCATCCCCAAGGGTGTGGCCCCCACCTTGATCCCCACCCCCAGGCAGTCCCAGCCTCCTCCCCACCCCTCTCCATCTCCAGGGTCCTGCCTTCCCCAGTCCACCTTTATCAACCCCTTCTCCAGAGCCATGCCCCCCGCAATTTATCCCGTCTCAGCCACCTGCTCACTGCCCCCCTTGAGCCCTCCAGCTCCAGGCAATGCCAGTTCCCTTCTCATCCCCACCCCCAGCATCCTGGCTCTGCCAACCCCTGCCATCACTCCCTTTTCCTCCCCAAGGCCCCAGCCCACCCACCCCTACATGCTGGCCCCCCAGCACCACTCCCTCCATCCCCATGGTCAAGACCCCATCCCCAGGCAGTGCCAGCCCCCTTCCCACCCTGCTTCTATCATCCACCCTCCCTCCCTGCTTCCCCTGCAGTACCCGCTCACCTTGAAGTAGAAGCCGAGGCTGGGACGGGGCTCAGGCTCCAGCCCTTCAGTCACAGAGCCCTCGAGGGAGTCGGCCCCGTTGTCCTCATCACTGTCACTGCCGGTATGCAGGCTGCCCAGTGGTACTTCCACCAAGCTGCTGCGTGGCTCCCCAGGCGATGAGGCATCACTGGTACCATCCCCACATGCCCGTGGCCCCCCCACCCCTCTTGGCCCGCCCCTTGGCCCTGGATCAGGTGACTCTGGCTGGGGCTGGGCTGGGGGCTCAGGCACCTCAGCCTCCCCCTCATCCTCGGAGAAGTGGATGGAGGAGCGGGTCTGAACAGGCACCTGGCTGGATGAGAACTTGCGCAGATGCGGCAGCGTGTCAACATTCTGTGGCGGTGTCAGAACCCGTGTAAGTGGTGGCAACTTCAGCTCCACTGGCCGTGCCCGCTTGGGACTCTTGGGGGTAGCTGCAGGTGCTGTGCGGCTCCGGGGCACTGGCTGCGGGGAGCGGGGGGCAGCTGTGACCACAGCTCTGGGTGGGCGGCGGGGGGGTGAGGAGGCTGCAGAGGTGGGGGGCGGGCGATTGCCCTTCGGGGCTGGGATGACCCAGGCTTGGCTGGGCCTTTTGTCCTGCAGGAGGCGCTCTTGTTGTGCACTCAGGCGCTGCATGTCCAGCTGCAGTGACGTCAGTGCTGTGTTGAGCTTGGCCACTGCTCGATTGTAGTCGCCCAGCTCCTCCTCCGTCTTGGTGCCCCCCGGCTCTGGGCAGAAGCTGACTTGGCGTGGCTGTGGAAGTCCGGGTGGTGCTCCCTGCTCATCTCCCCCCTGCAGTGGTGGTGCTGGTGGCTGGGCCACGGGATCTCCAGCCTCATGACGCCGCAGCTGCAGGAAGGCTGACTTGCCCAAGCGCTGGCGGTGCTTGGCAAAGATGGCCTCAATGCGCTTTTTCTGGGCCTCGATGGCACGGCGCTTCTCCTCCAGCCGGGCACCTAGCTCACTCATCTCTGAGCTCAGTGCTGCGCTGCCTGCTGGGCCCAGCTCTGCCACCCGCTCTGGACCTGCTTCTTGCCCTGCGCCTGCCGCCAGCTTCTTCTTGCGCTCAGCAAAGCTGGTCATGCGCACACCCGAGCCGCCTGAGGAGCCCGAGCTGGGGGAGCTGGCATCGTCACCATTTGGGGGCCCGTGGCGGGTGCGGGGGGAGGCCATGGGCAGTGGTTCGGGTGCCTTTGAGGGCTCAGGTGAGTGCAGGTAGAAGCCGGCAGGGGCGCCATCAGGCACCAGGCGCTCGGCACTGTGGATGATCTGCAGTGCCTCCTCAATGGTGGGCAGCTCACCCAGCGCCTCAGTCAACCCATTCTCCAGTGGGGGCTCTGCGGCCCCCCCGGCCACTGCTGCCACCTTGGGGGTCAGAGGGAGTTTGTGGATGGCACGGGTGACTGGGGTTGAGGCTGGGGCAGGGGAGCGGGCACGCCGGGGTGGCGCCAGGCTGTCGGAGCTGGCTGAGCGCAGCAGTCCCACGGGGTTGCCCATCACAATGTCCACGTCGCTGTCCAGCCCAAAGGGGATGCTGAACGACACTGCCTGCGACAGCGGGTGGCTGCTGGGGAAGGAAAGGAGGGGGCATGAGTGGTGAAAACTGGCCCCACTGCACATCCACCCAAAAAGGGACTGGGGCCCACGGGTGGCCCCAATGGGGCCAGGAGCACCCCCACAGGGACAGACCCCAAACCCAAACGATTACACAGAGCCCCAGACTCACCCTCCTGTACCCCTCAATATGACCAGGGACATCTCCTCAAAAGGGACAGGCTACCCCCAGCCCCCCTGCCTGCCCCCAAGTGATTAGTGACACCCCAAGTTCTCCCAACACGACAGCCCCCCCAGAGAGTTCCA